GTCTCTTGTTAGTAGCTTCAACCTCTGACCATTCTCCTAGATTTTACCCCACAGATGTTTTAAATCGCGATATATTTGTTATCTAAAATTATGCAAATTTAAATTATACAAGCTAGTTGCATAGTTATCTACATTTATATGACTGCCCTGATAGCAATAATTAGTACCCTGAAAAATTTTAAATATTGATATGTGAATAATCTGCTAATAGAGAGTAACACCCTTCTAAATTTGTGTTCTAACTGTGGAACTTCAGGGAGTTCTGCCAACACTGGGCTCCCCTAACAGTGCTCAGCTTCATTTTGTCTGGGGATTGGAACCCCCATGCTGGGCATCCTCCTTGCCTTTGAATTTGGGGCAGCTGCAGTAGCCAGTGTCATTCTTCTGTTTGGTTGAGGTTTTCTGGTTTCTTTGTCTACACATATTTTCTTTAAATCTCCACAGCTATTTTAAACTTTCAGGAGTTAAATTTCAGAAAGCTTATTTCTCTTTTATGTTACATCTATTCTTCTGTTTCATCATTCCCGTGTCAACAACTCTTGCACGAACAGCAGCCCTGTTCTCTACTCTGTGAGATCCTGGGGCAGACATGAGTGTCCTTGAAATGACACCTCTTGTCTTCAAGATTTCAAAGCTACTGGCTCCAATGAAAAAGCGAGTTAAAATGCTACGAACAGTATTAAAAAACAGTACATAGCTATGCCTTTGAATGTAGCTCTGTTTGCAAATTTCCCCTCAAAATTGCACGGTGTTGAGAAAAAGGGTTGTTTAATTTTAAGCTGAGTTAAATGGTTAGAAGTCACAGAATCCAACCACCTCTGAAATGTAATTTCTAAGAAATATGAGCTATTTAAAATGCTTCTAACTTGAAGATTTTGGCCATCATTTCATAAGGTTATTCAATAATAATCATAAATGTCTTTTCTTTTTAAAAGATTTTTTTAGGGACCATTATGTTTGATTTTTTAAAAAATTTTTTATCTTAAATTGAATCATCATAAGATTCACAGTTATAAAGCTGTTCATGATCAGGTTTCAGTCATACAACGCTCCCTACTTGTCCCTACACCAGTGTACATTTCCTAACACTAATGTCAACATCTTCCTTCCCACCACCCTGCCCCCCAGCCTAACGTTATAGCAAACAGTTTTCCTCTGTCTGTCTGTGTATCTGTCTTTTATGGTTTTCAATACAGCTACTGAGAGGCTATAAAATGATTTTTTTAAAATTTTAATTGATGGAAGATCAAAACAGAGATGCACCAATGGCACCAGAGCTATAGGACAGTGAGAAGGGCTTTTGCTTTGCATGCAAACAAGTTGAATTAAATCCCCTGCAGCCCATATAGTCCCCCAAGCTCTACCAGGAATGACCCCTGAGCACAAAGACAGGAATAAGCCCTGAGCACTTCTGACTGTGCCCGCCAGAGAGAGAAAGAGAGAGAGAGAGAGAGAGGAGAGAGAGAGAGAGAGAGAGAGAGAAAGAGAGAGAGAGAGAATAATGTCTGTAAATCTATCTAGGATAATTAAAAAATGCATAAAAGTAAAACATATGTGTTCTTTGGCAAAGTATGAATGATGAATGCAATTTGTTGTATAAACTATATCATATATAGTTGGTGCTTAATAAATTCATGTTGAATTGAATTTCATGTTAAATGAGTGATTTGGATTTAATGATCACTGACATCTCACTGTCATTATCAGAGTCACCATGCTGTGGTGACCATGGTCTGCTGGTGCATTCGGGGCTGATGACTGTTCCCCTGGCTGATGTACAAAGAAACAGGGGGCCAACAGGCTGGTAACTAGTGGGCGATAATCAGTGGCTGCTTGTTCAAATCTCCAAACATTCTGTCACTGTCACTGTCCTCCCATTGTTCATGGATTTGCTCGAGCGGGTAGGGTGTTTGCCTTGCAAGTGGCCAACATGGCTGACCTGAGTTTGATTCCTCCACTCCTCTAGGAGAGCGCAGCAAGCTACCGAGAGTATCTCGCCTGCACAGCAAAGCCTGGCAAGCTCCCCATGACATATTCGATATGCCAAATACAGTAACAGTTGTCACAATGGAGACGTTACCGGGCACACTCCAAACATTAATTATAGAAAAATCGTGAAGGTTTGGGGAGTAGCGATTACACATAGGTGTGGTTAACATTAATTTAAGCAATGAATGGATATAAAGCCCTTCCCTCAGGGGAAGTTCTCCTAGGAAATCCACTTTAGGACAGAATCTCATCTAGAGTCTCCAGCAATCTAGATTCTTACTAGGAGATCCTCCAAAGAGTAAAGTTCCATTTAACGGCACATTGCTTTCTCCTTTCTGTTGCTAGTAATTCATTTAAACAATCACATTAAGTTTACTTTTTAATAAAATTTCTAGTCATTTTGTATGAAGACTAAGAGATTATACCCTAGATTAAGTTTAGAGAGTGTAAAGAGTGGCTTTTCTGGGTACGAATCACATGAATCACGACCATCCTGTTATTCGTCGATTGCCTCGAGCAGGCAGCCAGTAACGTCTCCTTCATCCTAGCCCTGAGATTTTTAAGAAAGTGCTATACTCAAGGCTCTTTAGGAGAATGAGACCCATCATTGTTACTGGTATTTGGCATATTGGGTATGACACAGGGAGTTTGCCAGACTCTGCCATGTGGGTAGGTTACATTTGGTAGCTTGCCAGTTTGTCCAAAGTAGGAATGAGATAATAAAATGTCATAATAAGATGTCAAGTGGCCGCATTTGTCGCTGCGCGCTTCCGGGAGCTGGGTTTTATAGTCTCTGAGTCTTGGCCGTTGATGGGATTACACGGCGCCAGGGAGCCAGTTGGTGGGTGTGACCTCCGCCTACTGGAATTCTGAGCATCCTCCTTTCTGGGTACATCTCACTACATATCCCAGACTAAAGTCCTCAGGCCAGGTTAGTTTTCCTTAGCCCACACAAGGTCCTTATTCAGTTATTTCTTTTTGGATCATGACTGAGTTTGTTTCATGACTGTGCTTTTAATTTATTGTACTTCTTATGGAGCTTAGACTGTCTCTTCTAGAAGCCAGTGCTTGCTGTGGGTTCATCCTAGTCTCTTGGTTGGAATCACCTCTTGGAGTGTTAGGAACTAACGGAACTAACGTTAATCTAAGGATAATTGAGGCTTAAGTAAATATGACGAATGCCCAAGAGTAAATATGATTCGGAGTCAATTAACACCTATGTTACAAAAGCATAGCATTTACTTTCTTCCTGTGTCTCTACAAAAAGGACACTGCTCTAAAATAAACTATACAAAGGACATAAAAGAAAGATAAAAGCAACATTTCACTTTCTTATACAAAATCCAGAGCCGTCAGAAGGTTTGACTTTATAAGTTACAGTGTCTAATCTGGAGATATTTGTGACTAATAGATAGGAGAAGAAGAACACAAAGGAGACGTTAAGGGTAAACAGAGGATTAGGAGTGCCCCCTCCCCCAGTGGAACTTGGTGTGCCTCGGGAGCACTGTGGTGGGTGTAACTCAATTAACCTAAACTCCCTGTGGGAGGAGAAAGGTCAGTCCAATGTTAAACCTGAAATGTTTGGAACCTTAATCCGACATCTGACATCTCATCCTACATAGACTGAGGTTTCATGATTGGTTCTATAAAGAACCAGGGGAATGACAGAAAGCTCCCAGAAGGCAACGTGAATTATCCAACTATTCAGAAACAGATCTCACAGAATGTTGACAGAATGGACCAGACTTGATTGAAGACCAATCCCTACATTGTATGACATATATTTATATCACATGTCAAGGAAAAATAACATGGATTTTTTTCCCATTATAGTTGTATTGGATTTACTAAAAGAATGTGTGGCTCCATTTCTTTTAAAATTTTTGATTCCTATTCTTTACAGAAGATACAGAATTCCTTTATTTTACATCTAAAACTAATTAATATCTCATTGTTAGTTAGTATTTAATAGAAGTTTATTTGAGCTTACTTTGCTTTTATTTCTCTTTTACATATGTAAACTCAAATGAATACATATTACAATAAATCACTTTTATTTTAAATATATAATACATTTTCTGATAAATGTGTATAGAACATTTATCATCTTGTTTGAAAAGATGAAAATAAATTTCAAAGAAATTACCACTTAATCCTACTATGCAGACCTACTCTGTAGGATACAGAATCTGAATTCGAACACACTTCTTTGATGGATATCATAGGCCAGCATTTTGCTCTATGTTGGCAATATTCCTGACCTTCTGTCTTTTATTTTATTTTATTTTATTTTTACAGATATTGTATCCCTCTATAAGAATTATTTCCCCCCTCTTTTGTGTAAATAAAATTAATCTTAAAAGAACTGTGAACTTCACATGTAACACTGGTATTTGACTAGGGGTTCCTAGGTGTGACATGCAGTGTGTATTAAAAGGGGTATTAAGTATGGTGAACTGTGGTAGATAAGATCCTATCTTTTGTTTGTTGGTTGGTTGGTTTAGTTTTGGAGCCACGCCCAATAGTAATCAGAGCTTACTCCTGGCTCAGCACTCTGGGATAACTCCTGGCAGCCTCAGGGGTTCATAAGGTGCTGAAAATCAAGCCTGAGTCAACTGTGTGCAAGGCAAGCTCCCTACCTGCTGCACTATCACTCTTTTTCAAAACTAATTCGCCCCTTTCCTATGGCTTTTATCCACATACATTAACTGCTAAATCCACCAAACATTCTCTTTAGACCCCAGAAGACCTGTGCAATGCCATGCACCTGGATTTTGCTAGTTTCAGGTTTATTTATTTTTACCTTTATGTTTATCTTACCTTCTCTGCCTCTCATACTCAGTGAATAGAAATCAAATATTCAAGAACTTGGGAAAATGTGCCTTTGCATCTGTCTTCATATTTTCATTGGGTTCATTAGGCCTCTCTGACCAATGTGTCACTCTCACTGTTGCAGTGAAATGAGTTGTGACTTCCTGATACAGTTTTCTATTATTGCTTTCTTTGTGAAGGTCACGGGCAGTGTAACTGTGGAAGATGTGACTGCAAAGTTGGCTGGTATGGGAAAAAGTGTGAACACCCACGGTCTTGCCCACTGTCCGAGGAGGAGAGCATCCAGAAGTGCCAAGGAAGCTCTGAGCTGCCCTGTTCTGGAAGGGGTAAGTCAGGTCTCTTTGGCCTGTCACCATCACCACCACCCCCTTATGCGATGAGTCAAATGAATTCTACTTTCTCACAAATTATAGTTAATCTCCTGTTCCCATTATTGAAAATGAAGATAGAAATATCTCACCTTCTCTTTTTCTGTCTCTCCTTTTCCACTCACCCACACACACACACACACCGTCCACTTGAGCATTGAGGTCTATTATTGTCATTTCTATTCTGTTTAAGGCTACATTAAAAGGAATAAAGTTTGGATATTTTCCCAAAAGTTTCTAAATAATAACATATAATTGCCCACTGACATTTCTGAAACTCAGTCGCATTGTGCTAAGATGATGCTTCTGAAAAAGCATTGTACTAAACAGACAGTTCTGAAAGAGCCTTTGTTGTTTTTAGAAGGCACGTAGCTTCAGGTGTGCCCTTGGTACCAGATGAGAACAAATTGAAAGAGAAAGAAGAATTCATGCAAAGGAAAGCTAGTTCCATTTTTTCCCCATTTATCAAAATAAGAAATGCAATTTCACCTCTCCCATGAAAATGGCAAAGTTAATATGAAATATATTTTAGGAGGAAGTGGTAATTGAAGTTATTACACATTTTGTTCATGAAGGGAGGCAAAGAAGGTCTTCCTTTTTCTGAATGTTAGATTAGAAATATATCATTTTATGTTCTAGATTTATTCTTTGTGAAATCAATTTTGAAAAATGTATGATAGTTAAGGTAATGTGTTCTCAATGGGGTTGAAATTTATGGTCTTTGTTCAAACACTCACCACTATCGAAGTGCCTGAGAGACCCCCAGCTAATCTTGTATTCTCAGTTTGTACTATAGTCCCCAGAGTCTGTTGTCACTTGATATTATCCAATCCTTTAATGAAATTTTGAGACAATTCTAATGTCCGTGAATTCCTTCTTTTAAAGATGGTGGTTTTCATATATTCTCAGAAGTACATAATAATCAGTCACTGCTGTCTCCAAAATATTTTTTGTCACCACAATAGAAAATCCTATTATGTTTCTTTCCAGTTATGCTTCATTTTTCTCTCCCTTCAACCCTTACAAACCATTAACCTACTTGCTGTCTCTATGGATTTTCCTGCTGCAGATGTTTTTGCAATGCAATCATCAAATATGTGATCTTTTCATCTTTTTTTCATATTTAGTATATTTCTCACTTAGAATTTTTTTGAGACTTATGTATTGGTAGACATGGTTTCCTGTATCCATTCCTTTCCATGGTTAGACAATATTTATTTGTACAAGTAAACCTCATTTGTCAATCCATCACTCTGTTAAAGACCATTTAGATTGTTTCTACCTTTTGGTCAGCATGAATGATTTTCTGCAGGCACTCATGTATTAGTGGACCCAACTATCATTTCTATCGGGTATTTAGGTAGGAGTGGAATTTCTGAGTCATATGTCCCTTGAATCTGTCCTCAAAGAGGCCACACTTCTCATCCCCCACATAATGTGTAGGGGTTCCAATTCTGCCACAGCCTTACCATTATTAGTTATAAACTTTTGTTTACTTAAGATTTCCCTCTTTAGAATATTTATAATCTCTGATATCATTTTTACCATAGATAATTTCACAAATTCTGACATTTGTCACTGAGGATTGTAGGTAGGATATAGCTAGAAGGAATTTTTTATTTCAGAAAAATTTCGGAGTGTTCTTTCATAAGTCGCCTTAGAGAAAAGCACTATTCTATCTGAATTCCTAAAACAATGTCTTTACACTGTTTGAGTAAATCCAGTTTGCTCTTAGGTAACGGAGATAAAGAATTAGGAGGCCAGGGAGATAGTACAGTAGGTAGAGAACTTGCCTTGCGTACTATCAACCTAGGTGGGTTAGATGCTTGGCACCCCATATGGTACCCCAATCACACCTGGAGTGATCCCTGAGTGTCAGGAGTAGCCCCTGCCCCAAAATATTACAAAGATTAATAATTAATTTTCCTCATTATTATTTGTTCTTTCTTCAAAAACATAATTTATATAATAGAAAAATGAGGAAATCAGTAAATATCTCAAATATAGAAAGTTAAATTAAATAAAATAATTTACTGGTGTTTTAATTTTTCTGAACCTTATTTATTTTTTGGGTTTTGGGCATACCTGGCTTTGCTCAGGACTTACTCCTGGCTCTACACTCAGGTATCATTCTTGTCAGACCTCCAAGGGATGGGATATGGGGATCAAACTGGATTGGCCATGTGCTAGGCAAGCACCCTACCCACTGTACTATTATTTTCTGGCCCCTGTCTGTAATTTTTAAATTTATTGTAAGTTCCCACACGGCAGAGTCTGGCAAACAATGATGGGTCTCATTCTCCTAAAGAGCCTTGAATATAATCTCAGGGCTAGGATGAAGGAGAAGTTACTGGGGCCTGCTCAAGGCAATCGACGATTAGCAGGATGATTTGTGATTTGTGTGTAAGTGCAAGACAATTCTTGTGGTTTTAATCAACTCTGACAAACATATATTATTTTCTACAACAATTTCTCCTCGCAATGCTTTTAGAGAGTTGCCATTTTAACTTCTCGATGGACTTATTTGGCTTCTGTTTAACACTTAGTTGATTAAAACTATGCTTGAATGTGAACACAGAATTTTATTTCTTATTTTCTGTGATTCAGGTAAAGTTTTGGAAGTACTAGATACATAAATCAGCTTCCCTAGTCTCTGCGCAGAGAAGGGGTTCATCTACGAATGAAGTAATTGCCTAAGAATCAGAACAAAGCAGAAAAGTTTTACGAATGAAGATAAGGATTCTGGCAGGCAGTTCAGGGCTCAGACATTTTGTTGGAGTACTACATCCACATCTCATTGGCTCCATGTGCGCTGAAGCAAGCGGCTAGTCTGAAACCTCTTAAAGGATTTGTTTCGCAGCTCGTGAATGACAGCCACAGCTGTGGAGACATACATGCGGAAAGCAATTACCAGGCCCATTGGTCTCACCCAGGGGATCCTCAGCAGCTCACCAGCTGGGACTGATAAAACATTCTCTTGGTTGGCTTTACCAGGATATGCCATATGGACATCTGCTTAGCCAATTTCCAGGGGCAAGAGATGGTGGACTTTTTTTTTCCACCAGAAATTAAGTTGAATTACTTGTTTCCTAACTTGGACTGGAGCGATAGCACAGTGGTAGGGCGTTTGCCTTGTACACAGCCTACCCAGGTTCGATTCCTCCATCCCCCTTGGAGAGCCCTGCAAGCTACCGATAGTATCCCACCTACACAGCAGAGCCTGGCAAGTTCCCTGTGGCATATTCGATATGCCAAAAGCAGTAACAAGAAGTCTCACAATGGAGATGTTACTGGTTCCCACTTGGGCAAATGGGTGAACATCCGGAGGACAGTGCTACAGTGTTACTTGTCTCCACTGGTGAGGTCTACGTGTGATCCTTAAGTCTTAGACATAGAGGCTCTCTTCAGTTCCTGTTAATGCGAGCGAAAGTAAATTCTACCCAGGCTGCTCATGGATAAACCAGAATCCATATCGTTCATTGAATAGCTGACTTTCCTACTTACTGTGAATAGAGAATCATTCACCCTGATTTCTTCACCCTGATGCTCGGAGTAGTCAAAGATTTCTCTCATTGCTTAGAAGGGTTCTGCCCCCACTATTACTAGTGTTTTTTCAGAGGATACACATTACTTTTAAGCTTTTCTGACTTGAAAATACACTTTCATTACTACTGGGGTTCTCTTCCGAGATCTCTGACTTTAACCAAACATTGTTTTTTTAATGTGAGCATAAAGGGTTTTTTTTTTTTTTTTTTGGTTTGGAGAAAAACAAAAGAAAACAAGAAAACCAAAACAAAACCCCATGGAAGTGAGGGAAGCTGTTGGTTCTCACTCTCCCTCTGGCATCTAATTTGCAGTCCTGATATAGTGGCAGATCCAAAAGCTCTAGTCTTTGCAGGTAATTCAAACCTCTGCATACCCACTAAAGACCTGTGACACAGATGAGGAATAAACCTTTGTTGTTTTAAGCAACTGAGTTATTGGGATTATTTGTTATCGCAACCAAACTTCTTTCTCTCACACTCTCCCACATACAAAATTCAGAGTAAACTCAACCCAAGCTAACAAATAAGTAACCCCAAAGAAATGTCACTGAAACCAGAGGAAATAATCATCTACACAGTTGAAATTTTCTCATATATGTATGATATCCATATTGATATCATAGTAAAAATAAAGACTCGTTCATGTTCCAACAGTGTAGTTATGTGATTTTATGTTTGCTTGTACTTATACTTATTCAACGGGAAAAATGCTAGGATCACTGAATGCATCATCTTATATTATTGCCCCAAAACACAATGAGAAAGAAAGAAATTAGAAATAGGAACAGCGATGTGTTTTCTGCCTCCTTCTCTCCCCAGCCTCTCACATGGCTTTTTAATTAATAAGGATGGGCTTCCTAGATGGACAGCAATGAATATTCTCCATGCCACTGAGCTGTTACTTAAGAGCGAACAGATGCCATTGGGCTACACTGGCACACGACAGGGAAGAATGGAGATGTTACTGGCGCCCGCTCGAGCAAATCGACAACTAACGGGAAGTTAAGTGATTAAGTGATTAAGAAATAGGAACAGGTTTTTTTGTATAAATTCAATGCTAGAAACTTCTGTTCTTACTGCAGCTTGTCCTTCTAACCCCAGACCTATTGTTTTAAGAAAAAAATGCTTTTTGTTTCAACATGCCAAGTTCCTAAGCAATATGTAATGAAAAAATATTTTCTGCTGAAAAATATTCTCCTGAAAGTAATTGTTATGATGGTTATACTCTACAATACAATTAAAGCAAAGAAACTTAATTCACTAATAAGGACTGACCAATATTGAGAGTGGCACCTGTCACAAGTAATTTCCGTTGAATATTCATGTCTCCATAGAGAAAATCAAATAATATCTAGGAAAAAGAATGGTATGGCAATTTTCCCATTATTAAAAATTTCTGATCAATGGGGAAAA